TTTTGGATGAACAAAGACGGCGTAAGCTTACATGCTGTGAAAGTGGTACCGTGCTCGTGCACCCGACGAGCAACTCGAACAACAACAGGACTCTTGCAAGATGAGGCTGTACGGCCACGTACAAGGAGGATCGTCGCAGGATTGCTTGGTGTATTGTGATATAGATGTGTGCGAAACTGTCTAGTTATTTCGAAGATTTCTTAGGTGACCGTACTGGCCGTGTTCAGGTAGTACGCGCTGGGGCGGCTGGGGCGGCTGCCTTAGCTTGTACATGAGATGAATCGTTAACAACACCTTTCTGACGCTCCTTGGGTCGTTCAGAAGACTTTGAGGCTCTGCGCTTGCTCTTTGAGAACTGTTGTATAGCTTTTTGAGCGTCGTGCCTGTCTCGCGCGATATAATGTTGTTAGCTACTCCTTTAGTTGGGTCCATGGTGGTGGAGTCATGACGCGTTTTGTGTACCGTGCCCGTACACGAAACGAGCCAGTTAGCAGGTCGAGCCAACCCATCGAAATGTTGACAATGAAAGAATGAAGCCGTAGAGCCACACCCGACAGAAACCATGTCGCACAGTTGGATGCGGGTATTGTAGGCAGACAAATCAAGAGAAAGCGTATGTGTTGTTGTTGTTTGTAGCATTGTAGCTGAGTTTGTACAAAGGTCATCGCACCGCGTTATTAGTAACAAGGTTTCCGACAGCGCTCGGTCTGCGACATGCTATTTTGCGAGAGAAGCTAGTGTATTGCTATATAGATGCTTGCACATCTCTTCTACTATTTGTAGCTAGCTGGTTTCCTGGTGTTGCGGCCGCTCGTAGTGAAAACGGGTGGGGGAGACGCAGCCGGAGGTTCAGCGTCAACACGTCTTCGCACAACCACAACATGACGACGCTTTACTGGATTCTTTGCAGCACAATGTGAAGCCTCTCGCTTACACTCGTTCGAGCTTATCGTGAAATTTTTGAGCGGCTGCAGCGTCGCGTTGCTGCTTTTTGAGCGTTCGTTTGGCAGCCAGCGCTTCAGCTGGTACTTTCTTTGGCTCGCGACGCTCCTCAGCAGCACGCTACCGAACCAACTTGCCTCCTCTTGCTGCTGCTTTCTGTATGCTATTGCCGCCGCCTTTGCCTCTCTATCGTGAGGGGGTTTCCTTGGAGTTGTAGATGCGCGGCTTCATCAAGTTCTGCAGCTTTGCGCGCGGTCGTGGGCAAGCTTCTTGAGACTGTAGAAGATGGCACCGCCGTGCCAGTCGTCGCTGTCTTGTGTAGCCGGTGTTGTCCGCCGGGTCGGGCGCTTTCTAATGACGTTGGGCTCGTGTTGTAGCTCCTCGTTTTGAGCAGGAAGAGGCTCGTTGTTGACTAGTAACGGGTAGAGGCTTCGCGACAGCCGCTTGGCTCCAATTCTGGCCTTGTCAGCAACTGCAGTGTTGGAAACTTTGGGCAGCTCAGGTCAATTGTTACCGTCGCTATGCTCTCCATTCTCTGCGTCTTCATCTTGTTGTTGTGGGTGGTTGTTGAAGCGTTTTAGCATCGCATATGCGTCTATTGGCCACACGCCTGTAGCTCGAAAACTCTTCTATACGAGCTCCAGAGTCGTTGTAGAGTTCTAAGCCGGCCAGGATTTGCTGTGGAAGTAGCATTCCGCGATCCTCGTGAGGCCTTGGGTTTACTAGAGGTAGTGGGTAAGCTCTTCTGTGCAGCACCTCGAAAGCGGCGCGAAGAGGACGACATCGAGTGGCAGCAAGCTGCGAGTTGAATGGGGTGGAAATATCATGAGAAGCTCTTCACTGGTGTGGTAGGTCGCCTGCCAAACCCTTGCTACTGCCATTCTGCTTGTGCCTACGTCACCCTCGGATAACAAGGACAACGATGATAAAGCACTTTCCTTTCTTCTCGTATCCAACTTCTGATAAAGAAAAAGATGCTGTTCACTGCCCATGATCGCTCTAGCCGGACCGATCAAAGATTGCGTTACTGCAGGACTCGACAGCAGTGATTGAAGCCAGCCATTCAGATATCGGCGGATTGGATAGCAATGTCTGATTCGATGAGCTTCCTGACCGCCGCCAGACCTATGCCGGTGTTTTGTCAACGCCACGTATTCCATGCGGAAGTCTGTGGCAAGAGTGTAAACCTTCGCATTGCAAACCAACACCGCAGACTTCACGGCCGACTTCTATCCGGGAGACGAGCCTCTCTACCTTTATCAGAGGCCTAGAGATGGCAAAGACCAGCCTCGTCAACGTCACTGCCTGAATCTTCTACCTCGCGACCTCATTGGTGCTCTTGGTTGCGTGAGGAGATGTCTGGAAGAACAGCTTAGTGCCCGACAGGCTGTTGTCCTTTTCGTCCTCTGCCTTCTCGTCCTCTGCCTTCTTCGACACCGATCCCGCGCATGACCTTGAACACATGCTGCGACTAGACGTCTTGCGAAAGCCCGCAGCCTTGTTGAAGTGGTGGGACATGAAAGTGTATCCACAATACAAGTGACGAATCAACGACGGAGCACCGCGAGATTGCACACGTGCGTGCCAGATCCTGACTGCGTCAAGCCCAAGCCATCGACCTTAACCTCAGCCAAACGACGTCAGCTCACAAAGTGCCCCATGTCGCTCCGGTGCAAGTCTGCCATCTTCATCACCAAAGACACCCTTCCTCTTCGCGTTGGCTGAGACAGCGCCCAGCGGCCTTCGCGGTTCCACCATCTTTGCCCGCTCGAAGTCGATCACCATCATTCGGCGTGTTCGGTCTTCCCATAGCATGTTCCGTTTTACGAGGTCGGTGTGCAGTACTCCGAGTGAACGAACGGCTTGCACTGATGCCTCCGTCTGCTGTGAAACAAACAACTTGCTGTCTGCTGCCGGATGCTTGTCCATGCGCTTGCCTCCGTAGCTGAGGAACATCATGTGCTTCAGCTCACAGATCCCCTCGTAGTAGTAGGGAACCTCTAGGTCAATGTTGCCTAGATGCACCGGCACATGCGTGCCCTGTATAGGACGCAGGCGATGGTAGATCTTGGCTTCCCACTCGAGACGATGCACAAGCTCGATCGGGCAAGCCTTGGCGACTACGGTATATCCATGGGACTCCAATCTGACACAGAAGGGGACGCCACACGCTCCATGAAGCCCTATGACCTCGCAGTTCGAGTCTAGGTCCTCGGACAGCTGCTGGCGGATGCGCTTGAGGAACGTCGACCGGCTTAACTGATGACGGTCTATACCATGTAGCCTCGCATTCGGGCACGCGACGTCAAGAGGACCACTCCTCGCCAGGCCAAGCAAGCAGTTCTGAGTGCAGTACTTTCCATCTCGTCCTGTGTTGCCTGATCTGCGATCAGATGAAGGAATGCTGGTGGTGGGTCGCGAACGAGATGGATGTGGAGGCGGTGGTGGTGATAATGATGATGACGATAACGATGGTGGAGGTGGTTGTCGGCTTGGTGTGTCTGGATCAGGCTCCTCGTCGCTGGTGTTATGCCGATCCTGCGGCTGCGAGCAGTCGACTTCGCCTGTGCGTGCTCGTCGTTGCCGAATCCGCACAGGCGACATACGCAGAAATTCTGTGTTTCGAGGCGGTCGATATTCTGACGACGGCGTCTCGTGCGATGGGATGTCGTCCAGCAGTACGCTGTACAGGACCTCCCAGCTCTTCAGTCGAGCCGATGTCTCCTTTCGCCATCTGTGGCTCCGAAGCGGCGTTCTCAGAGCTTGCAGCGTAAACGCCAGCATCTGCCCGACAGCGGTCAGGTGCAGTCGGTTCGGACCGTCGGCGTCTGGCGCCC